CCGAGGAGCCGTGCGGGGCGGAGGGGTGGGCGCAGGATGCCGTCCCGCCGGGCGCGGCCTTCGTCGCCGCCGCGTCGTACCGCGGCCCCGGCAACAACGACACGCGGAGCAACAAGGCGCTGCCCATCCTGCTGTGGTGGAGCGGGAGTCTCTTCCCCCACTTCCCCGGCGACACGGAGCGGATCGACTGCCCCCGCGGCTCCTGCCTCGTCACCCGCAGCCGGCGGGGGGGCCCGCCCCCTTGCTTCGCCACCCCCACCCGGGGGGTGGCCGGGCACCGCCGCACCAAGGCCCTCATCTTCTACGGCACCGACTTCAGGGCCTACGAGGCGCCGCTGCCCCGCCTGGCCCACCAGACCTGGGCGCTCTTCCACGAGGAGTCCCCCATGAACAACTACCTCCTCTCCCACCCGCCCGGCATCCAGCTCTTCAACTACACGGCCACCTTCCGCCGGGAGTCCGACTACCCCCTCACGCTGCAGTGGCTGCCCGGCGTGGGCTACCTGCGGGGCCCGGCGGTGCCCCTGGCCGAGAAGGACGCCTGGCGGCGGAAGGGCTATGCCCCGGTGCTGTACATGCAGTCCCACTGCGATGTCCCCTCGGACCGCGACCGCTACGTGCGGGAGCTCATGAAGTACATCCAGGTAGGCGGGGAGGCCGTGGGACGGTGTGGCTGTCGGAGCCGGGCCCGCCTGGCTGCCCCCCTCCACCTCCTCTCTTTTTAATGGGGTTTGTTTGTCCTTGTTTTTAGCCAAGACACGAATCGTAACGGGATGCATGCCGACTACAAGCTGGACAGAAAAACTAGTTGTATTCCTTCCCAAAGCGTGGTCTAGACTACACCGCGTGCCAGTAGGTAGGCCTGATGGTAGCTGTTAGTTGTGGAGTTAGCCAGACTCGGGGTCAGTCGCAAGCTGGGCCAAGCCCGAATTGGCTTGGTCTTGTGGACCAAGAGCTAGAAGTTGCTGAAATCTCTGGGCCTTTAAGGTAGTGTACAGGAAGGCTGCCCATTTACAAGCCTTGCTCTCATTTGAAAGTATATGCATGCAATAAAAAGACAGGTTGCTGCGTTTTGAGAATCTGCTCCTTGTCAGCGTTGTCGTAGGACCGTGTTATTTCTGTGGTGGTTTGTACTGCTGTGGCACAGCTGATGGAGAGTCGCTTTATAAGCTGAAATAACGTCATTTCTTTCAAGCAGAAAAGAAGTTCAGTGTTTTTTTTTCTTAAAAGTTCTGAAGGATAGCAGATTAGAAAAAAAAAAAAAGCATCTGTTTATAGTCTTTACCTGAAATATCTTTTTCCTAGTAATTTCCACTGTTTCTACTGGTAGTGATTAATTTATTGTGCAAGTTCATCACATGCTCAGTAATGAAGCAAAGACAAAATAATTTTTAAAATATGACTGTGTATTGTCAAAGTATGAAGCAGATTCCAGATCAGGTGTATGTCTTTCATTTTTAGACAGTATTCTTTTAGCTCCCTACATCCATTTTTGTCAGTCTAACGAATGGAAAATTTTTTCCAGTCTGCTGAGACTGGCAGGAACTGTGTAATAACTGTTTGGAAAAGTACCGTGTCTCTGTTAAGTAGAAAGATGACTTTTAAATTAACATAGAGAGAGTTGAATGCCCTTCCTTACCTCTCAGTTTCTGATTTGTCCAGTAATAAATACATTTTTGGGTGATGCCTTCCTTTCTGCGCCCTCCCCCCCAATCTGTAGCGCAGTTTATGCTGCTTTTGAAACTAAGCACTCGATTTCCTCTAAAGCTGGGACTGTAGGAATACTCACAAGGGAAAAAACGTGGAGTGGAAGTGAAGCTAAACTAAGGTAGCTAGGAACTGATCAAAGTTAGGAATTTTTCGAGAACTACAAGCTGTGAAAACAAGCTCCCAGGCAAACAAATCACTTTGTAAAGATGCCGGTTGTTATTTTAGGTTGACTCCTATGGGAAATGCCTACATAACCGTGAGCTTCCCAGTGAGCGACTGAGAGACACTTCTACAGCCACTACAGAAGATTCTGAATTTATGACTTTTACCGCCAGGTACAAGTTTCATCTGGCCTTGGAGAATGCCATATGTGACGACTACATGACGGAGAAGCTGTGGCGTCCAATGCACTTGGGTGCTGTCCCAGTGTACCGAGGCTCCCCAGCTGTGCGGGACTGGATGCCAAACAACCTTTCCATCATTCTAATAGATGACTTTGACAGCCCCCAAGAGCTGGCAAAGTATCTTGATTTCCTGGACAAGAATGGAGAAGAATACATGAAGTATCTAGAGTACAAAAACGCTGGTGGAATCAAAAACCAGTTCTTGCTAGAGAGCTTGGAGAGGCGGGAGTGGGGTGTGAATGACATGACTCTGCCCAATTACCTGAATGGCTTTGAGTGTTTCATCTGTGACAGGGAGAACACCCGGGTCAAAGAGGAGCAGGAATATAAAAAGTCTCATGGGACAATTCCAGCTCCCAGACCTCGCATAGCTCAGTTCAAGCACATGGGATGTCCTATGCCAACCCCTGGGTTTGGAAGTGTTGAAGACCTCTCTGGAGGAGACAGGTAATGTACCAATACTATGCTTTTTGAAGGAAAAAAAGCTTCCAAGAATAGTAGCTGTAACTTCTAATAATGCTTTGTACTTAAAGGATCTCTTAATACATCTCCAGCTATGCTTTATATTATGTCTTGTGGGCGGTATGGTGGATTTGCTAATACTGTGTAACACTGAGGCTGGAAAAGAGGCTTGGACAGTGGTATTGGTTAGTGGTTGAATGAGGAGCGTGAAACACCCGTAATATTCTGTTAAAATGCTCTGTGACCTTGGGCAATATGGTTATCCTTTGTCTGTCTTAGCCTCTTTTTTTGTTGTTTTTTTGTTTGTTTGTTTGGAGGATGGATGTTTTTCAGTACAGTGATGGTAAAGCACTCGGTAGCCTTTGGGTGAAAGAAGGGCTATACCTCTGTACCTCCTTACAAAGTACTGCGTTAAGAACGGGGTTGCCACTGTTCAGTGCAGGCCTGGTTAACTCCTGTTGACTTCAGAGCAGAAGTTAGGCTCACCCAGAATACTTCACAAGACTTTTTGTTGTTTTGTGTGACAGAATTCTGGCTTGTGTTGAAGGACACCATCCCATTTATTTAGGAGAGGGACCATGCAGGACAGAGAATAGGTTGAGTAGTTTCTTGTCCCCTTTGTGCACAGGGATTGCTGGTGTTGCTGGAATCTCCCAGACCTATAGCCCAGTGTTAGCCATCTCTAGCGCGAGCTGCCCTGAAGTCTGTTAGCAGGGAACGAACCACATCGACCCCGAGGCAACCACTTTTGGTAGGCAGAATAGGGTTTTGTTTGCGTGGTCTACTTAGTATTTATACATGCGTTGGTACAAAACAAGTCAGTGCTTGGGTTCCCAAACCCTGAGTTTTTCAATTGATAGTGTTTGAAGTTGCAGTTGCTAGAAGGAGGGGTTCTTGCAGTTCATAAACCATGTGTGCCCTTTTTGTAGTGTGTATTACTAGCATAACATGTTCAGATCCCCCAGGTTTGTCATTTTTCTTTGCATTACCTGCAATAATTTCTGTCTTTTTAGGCAATTACTCAAGTGCATGCAACTCACTTTATATAAGCCATCAGACAGCCATCGTAAAGATGAATCCTCAGCCATGGCAGATCTTGCTTATGTTCATAGCTATCTGTCACCAAGGATTTCAGTGTTCTGATGTCAGTCCCGCTGTAGTATTAAATTAATGACTTTTTGAAAATATTGGGAAGATCTCATGCACTGTCCAGAAGGAAGTTGTCGATATACTCTATCCCAGTTTATATCAGTTTACAGCTTTGTTAATAATTTCCTAGACTAAGGAATTGAATGCTTAGGAGTGTTAAAATGTTGGAAGACACAGTGTGTTGAAAATACAGAATCCATCATTTCAAGTACGCTATCCCAGAACTAAGTTCTATGTGGATATGAAGCTCTCAAAAAGCTTCTATTACGTTAATCATCCACAAAAAAGTATGAAGAATTTTGTAAGTGTGGGGAACTACTTCATCCTATATTTGGATGCTTTCAAAAATGGCCAACTGAAATTAAAAAAGGAAAATAAGCCTGAAGTCAGTCAGGTTGTTTAGGAAAAGCACATTTCACAAAATTTGTGATGTTTGTCATTAACAAGCATTTTTCACAGTACAATTAATTCTCACATTAACTAATTGAAAAGTTGTGCTTGTAAGTAAAAGGGGTCCCTAATCCTTTGTTTTCTGTTGGTTGATTGATTTATTGAAGCTTTTTTATAGTAATACCTTTTCTTAGTCTCGGTAGCAAAATGTGCTTTTCACTTGTGGCATGCTATGCAGCAGCCTACTCTATGAGAGTCTTCTCTACTTTCTCACAGGTTTTCTCTTGCTTGAGCAGCAGATGGCAGTAGAGAAACACCTTTGAAGGCACAGCATGGGTGCCTGTGCCACTTACTTGCAAGTCAGGTACTCCATCATTCTGTGCAGTGGTCATCAGCAAGGAGTTTTGAACAGTTGGTCCATAATCCAAGCTACAGTTGCATCCCACGGAAGTTTCCATGTCTCATTGAACCATAGTGTGTTATTCTCCCCATGTGTATAGACATGAGATGTGTCTGGAAAAATTGTACCAGGAAAGCTTTTACATTTTCTGCTATCTACTTTAGAAATATATGCATCTGTACCTTCTGAGGCATGATCAAGGGGATCTCCAGTGAGATACAGTGGTTTCTATTCCATAAGCATCTGAGCTTTCACCGGTTTTATCTCTAAAATGGAACATGATTACTTAGAATTGTAAATGGTGTGACAGTAGCATAAAATTGCCACCAAAACATTATCTAAACGTGCTCATATTTTGTCAGAGTTTGACAGTAATATTATGGCAACAATATGATCAATTTGGATGACTGTCTACTAAGCCAGTCAGTTGTGTATTTTGTTACTTTAGAAAACATTGTGGAAAAATTATGCAGGCCAGTGGGGTTACAAGTGGTAGAATATATGCAACATACAAGGTCTGACTGTAAACATACACTGTGATTTTGGCTTCTGGAGGCTTCTGGAACTCAGAGAACAACAAAGGCAATTAGAGTTTATATAATTTTAGAGCAGGTACCCAATTACAGTATGGTTACCCTGTGCATCTGCATGCTCTGTAACCCTTATTCCCCGATGTAATTTGTTTTTAGGGTTGACGAATGTGCTGAATTGACAGAACTGTTGCATCAGAATCTCTGTGTAGGTATATGTAGCTGGAGCACGTTATTATATCTTCACCTTGCTGTCCTTTAGCTCTAAGTGTGGAGATGTGGTTCCTAAATCTTTATGCTTGCAGCCTCACTTGTGTTTGGACTTCTGGGCTTCACACCCAAGTAACCTTCAGAAGAAAGGCTGCAGAACAGCCACTTGTATGTGTTAGGTTATGGGTCAGTCACTATAATCTCTTGAATTCTTGGCTGCTTTGTACAGAAAATAGTGAGTTACAGTGCTAGTGATGAGTAGAATATCTGCTTAGTAGGAACCGGAATCTCCAATTATTCTTGGACTCTCACCTTTGTGAAGGGAAATGTTTGGTTTGTTTCATTGATAAGAATTCATTTTCCAAAAGTGGGACATTTGAGAGGGTAACTGTAAGAAGACTAAGTGACAATACCTTTCCAGTTACCTAAACAGTTTTCATCTGTGCTAGCATGAGAAAAGAGAAGCCAGTGTGCCTTTGATAAAGGAATATTTTGAAACCATTATGGTTTTGCTAGTTCCATTTTATATCAATGCCACAGTTTATTTATGACAAGAGGAAAACCAGCTTAAAAGTGTATCACATTTGCCACGTGTACACTGTAAGGTCTTTCTTGCAAGAGAATCCAATAATCAGCCAGGATTAAAGATGGATCTGTATCTCATGGTAATAACGTTTCAGGTGTATGTAGTTTGTAGTTTCAGGGTATTTGTACAGTTCTGTTCATCCTGGGGTACCAATTTTTTCCAAGTTACAGAATCAGCATTAAATTATTTTCTTAAAAACCAATAACAGCAATGTAAAAAGAAAAATACCAAATTGTTCTTTTTTCATGTTTCTGATGAAAGTCTTCACTTGGATACCAGAATTCCTTTCAGTGTTGTTTCCGTAGAGTTCAGCTGGAAAACATTTTCTTTTTTCTGTTACCTACTGCCACTTAGTCTTGCATCTAGTATATAGTGCAAGTACACTCATTTTCCTAACTGTGCCCTTATTCAGTGCTGTAAAAAACAAGTAACTCATGTTGGCAGTCGTTGAACAAAGGTTAATGAATTTAGCTGGTAAGCAAAGTGATCTCACACTACGTCCAAGTGCTGCATTTTACAAAGGAACCTTTTGGCAGACTTTTTTTTTTTAATGCAGCAGTAAGCCTCTATCTATGGTCCTTCACATTGCAATCTATGTTCATAGAATCATTGAATGCTTTGGGTTGGAAGGGACCTTTAAAGGTCATCTAGTCCAACCCCCCTGCAATGGACAGGGGCATCTTCAACTAGATCAGGTTGCTCAGAGCCCCATCCAGCCTGACCTTGAATGTTTCCAAGGATGGGGCATCTACCACCTCTCTGGGCAACCCGTTCCAGTGTTTCACCACCCTCGTCGTGAAAAATTTTTTCCTTGTGTTTCCTCCAGTTCATGTTAAAAGGTTTATTTTGAGGTCTCTGTTGGTGTACGCTGCAGAAATGTCCCACCATAGATGATGCTATTGACCACAGGAAACTAATTCCTATGGCATACAAGTTGTATGCCGCTCCACAAAGAAAGCAACTATGACATGTTGTGCATTTCTTCTGGTCTTCCTGGAGTAGTGGGTGAGATCTGCTTCTGGGCAGTGCAGCCATGCTTGCTTTAATATATGGTGTATAGCATGAACACAGAAGGCACTGTACTTACTTCTGTGATTGGGAGGGAGAAGAAGCAAAAAGCTCTGTGTATATAAGTTAACAAGTATTGGGTAACTCATATGGACAGATTAAAAAGAACATCACGTTTGGTCCTTCTTTCCAAGATTTGTGATGGGCTTATGTGGCTGGGCAGCAGATATAATGGAGACGAGATAAATAAATGATGGCCGTACATTGATATAACACAAATGAGGGAAGTAGTGCACATGATCATGAATGGGAAGGGAATTGCTGAAAGTTGCAGTGATGTGGTCTGTGCTATGAAAAGTTCGAGAATGTATGCATTAAAAAGAGGAAGTTTATACTCGACCATGTAATCCGGAGATAAAGAATAGAGTCAGGGTTGAGGAATATAATGATTTTTTTGTCTCAGCCATGTATAACCCGAGTTTGTAATGAGTAGCTGTCATTCTCTAATTGTTAAATGATTTACCTGAAAAAAAAAATTGATTCTTAGGCTAACTGTTGTACGCATACTGGCCGTGGAAGGCTACTCTCAAAATCATGTAAGGACTCATGCTAGATTTTATTTTAATAGAAGTTTTTATATAAAACTACAATTAATAATTTAGTCTCTTTGGTTAGCACTACAATCACATGCTGGTACTTCTAGAATGTTGTAAAGCTAATAGTGAACTTACATTTCCTGTAGAGAATTTTCATAGCAAGTTTCTTTAAATGACTTGGAGCACAGTAGCATGGTAACAACATACTTTGTCATGACCATCTCTGGGCCTGTTTTCCTCTTAGGTGAAAGAAAAAAAAAATGGTTTCAGTGCTATTACAGCTGCAGACTCATTGGGTTTTTTTTAATGGTTTATAGTGGTGTCTCTTTTTTTGTTTCAGTTGGAAAGAGATGTGGCTGCAGGATTACTGGCAAAGCCTTGATCAGGGTGAGGCCCTCACTGCTATGATTCACCGCAATGAGTCGCATCAGGGAAGATTTTGGGACTATATGCATGAGATTTTTCTCAAGAGGACGAGGCAACACTGACCCATCTTTGTGAGAGCTTGATTTGAAAATTGCATTGAAAGTTGAGACTGTGAATTCTTATCTCGCTCCAAAAGTTTGCCTTGAAATAGAAGAAAAACTCTCACAGAGACTATTTTTTCTGGTGCATGAAGTGAGTAAGTTTCTGCTATGATTGGATTTCAGCAATGGAGATCTTAGCTCTGTGGTGTGAAGCCACTCCTGACTTGCAGGTGTCAACATGTGGGACAAAAGAGGAATTTACTCTCCTTTTGCATTTGGTATAGTTTCCTTGTGGCTTACATGACTTCAGAGGAACACCTCTTCAGACTCTTGATCAAATGCCCTAAGTTATTTCAGGGATTTGTTTCATCTCCAAAATATTAATCGTTTTTATAAGTATTTTATCAGTCACTTATTCTCCTCATTAAGGTGTACTTTTAGCTGCTATTAACAAATAGCTTTTCCAGTGAAGGAACTACAAAAGACAAATGTCTGTGGAGAGCAATTGTGCCTTATGAAATTGCAGCAATAAAGTCTCTTCTCCCCAAGTAAGCATGCCTCAAATACTCCTGCTTTTCAGGGTAACTGAATAGCTATGGGCAGGTCATTTACTCTCTGCCTAATTTTCGTCTTTTGCTAACTTTCCAGGTGATACTAAATTATTTAGTAATTTAGTATTAATTATAATATACAGGTGAGACTAAATTATTTAATTCACAACTTTCAACAAAGTATTTCACACTAGAAAGTGTATTACCTGGTATGGTGCAGAACTAGAGTAAAATTAGGATGCTTTGGTTCTTTTAAGTTTCCATCAAAGCTGAAATCCCAGCTATAATCTTGACTTCTTCTTATCTCCTTAATACCAGCAATTCAGAGGCCTTAGATGTGTTCTTTTTGAGTCTCTGCAGCTTTCTGCAAAGATGAATACATTTTAACGATGGTGCCTTTCCAGTGATCTCTGCAGTTTGGATACAAACCTTGTAGTCTTTCTATGCTGAAGTGGATGATCAGAATCAGGTGCACTGAGATGGTTTTGTATCTCTACCAAATCTTAATAGAGTATGATCCTGGTCTGTGACTGGAGTTGCTAAAAGTGATGATGCGGACAGATTTTCCTTGCTGCGTAGCATGCACCTGTTACAGATATAAATACAGTCCGCTGCTCCCTGCCACATTGGGTACCTTTCTGAAATTATTGATTTTGCATTGGAGGGAGACTTAATTCACTTAGTGTCACAGGTTTAAATGCACAGGTAAATATGGCCATGCTGCAGTGATGTCTCTAATGGTATAATGGTATTTTATTTATCCGTTTCTCCTCCCTCTTCAGAAGTAACTACTGACTAAATAGCCAGAGTTTATCCATGCCTAGGACAGAATGTTGGTAATGAAAGACTAGAGTCTGTGGGGTAATTTCATTTTGTAAGGCAGTTCATGCATTGCTATGGGAAATCTGAAGCCTGTTAGTGAAAGTTAGGAACAGGAGTGAATCTACATTCTGTCCCTAATTAAGTCACTATCTACTGCTTAGCTGTGAATGGATCGCTTAATCTCGGTTTTTTTCCTCAAATTCCCATTCATAATGTTATAGGTATGATATTATAGGTATAATATTAGTATAAGTAATGATATGCATCTCCATGTTTGCCTCTCAGGTGATACAACAATATTGTAGTGTTAAAATCTGGGCACCTTGACAGACAAGACTTCAGACCCATAACTATCACTGGATTCTTAGAAATGTGGAAAATACATAAAATATATGCTGATCTCACCTGATTTTTTTTTAAGGAGAAAACTGTTTTTTTCTCTCTTCTGTAATAATAGTAACAAATGGTTCTTCAGCTAAAATGCATTCATCAATTTACATTCCTTTTTTTCAGTTACTCAGGAGACATGAATACCTAAGTGAATATATCTGAATTAATTGTTAAAGTGGATTACTCAAATCAGATTAAGATTACAGATATGTGTATTCAGGATTGAAGTGGCCACAATGTGCTTGAGAAGTAAATTAAGATAGAACAAATTAAGGCTGCTGTAGTTCTGAATATCAACTTCTACTGAACAGTTTAATGATATTTAAATAAATTGTTTGAATTAATGCCTTTGGTTACTTCGGATTCTCTTCATTTCATGTTTCTGTATAGAAAATCAGTCAGTCTTCTTTGACTGCATGGTTCTCTGAATTAGCTATATCTCAAAACCCTTTCTTATTCAAGTGTTTGGTGATAGTCAGGAAGAGAAATCCTGATCTTGCTTTTTGTACTAAACATAAAAAATAAGAACCAGGTACTAGCACATTATGCTTTTGCTATTTTATCCTGTTATCTGCTGTTGCCAAAATTAGACATGCTATGTTTAATGTATTGTCCTTGCAGGAATAACAGGAGGAAGCACCAGTATAATCATGTGTATCATAGCACCTGCTTAGTTCTTGATTAGGGATGTCCTAAAGCCTCACTTTGCTTTCCCGCTCAGCAAAATGAGCATGTTTGTCAACTAACAATAGAATTGAAGATACGGTGGTACAAACTTCAGAGTAGCTAGCAAACCAGATAAAAACTTATTCTTTGGGACACTGATTCACTAATTTGCTAGTTCACAGCCACGTATTCTTTCACCACTATTTATTATTTGTACTCAGTATATTAGTCACCAGTCAACATGGTTTTTTGTTAGTCCTACAGGGGTTTTTTTGTTTTGAGGTGTGGGTTTGGTTTTTTTTGCTGTATGTATGTACTACAGAAGGCTGTTGCTTTGAGCTTCATGACTTGCCAAGCATGAGTATTTCTGATTGCCATATCCCTTCTTAAAAGGGGTAGGAAAGTAGCACAGATAGGAAAGTAACTTTATCACAGATATTCTGTGGATTTTGTCTGCGTTTTTCGAAGTACAACTTTTAGTTTGTAGTTAAGAGTTACAAGCTAGTTTCAATAGCTTTCTTTTCTGAGTTCTTAGTGTCTTCCTAGGCTTAACTATTTTTTTACAGTCTTACAGGTGGTGAACTTCTCAAAAGATAATGAGTATCAGCTACCACTCTTCACAGCTGTGACGCTACCCAAGCCTTGTGTTTCTCTTGTATCTGCAGGTTTTTTTTCTGTAGGAATAGATTATATACCTTTATCATCTTCTGTATGTCATAATGTTTCCGTGATTTATAAACAGTGTGTCTGTTGCCTATATTAATATACTAAATGTGTTTCACTTATTGTACATGGTGCACGAGAATTAAGGTTGGAATATTTCTTTCAGTGCGTAGTATGAATAACTTGCATAGCTGACAGGCAAACTCCTCAGGGGCAGGAGAGGCGTGAATCCTCCCTAGCTGGCTGAAGAGGTGTGGTTGCAGTTGTGTTCCAGGCTGCTGACCGACCTTTACAACATCCACTTCTCTGCACAGCAAGGACTGCAAAATGTTGAATAAAGGTGGTTCTACCACCAGGGCTTTGCTTCCATATCTCTCCTGTTATTTGGAAGAGGCAGGAGGAAAAGCTGGGTCTCCTACCCTTGAAGAGTTTGAGATTAATTTATGTAATAATGAATTTGAAAGGATTGCTATATAATGTCCAAAGACTACTGCCATTCTTAGCCAAAGTGAATTCCATGTACAATCCTAGTTGTCTTTCTACTAATGCAAGTATGTGAATGCAGACAAGGAGGAAGGTCACTGCAGCAACTATTACTATTTTGGAAAAAGGTTTCTGATATCTGTTCTTGACTGCTAACTGGATTTCTCACTTCAGTGCTTTAAATCCGAACCAGCTAGATGGTGGCTGAATGTCATCACTCGTGTTGTGACTACTGGAAAGCTTATATGATACTCAGACTGAACAGTGTCTACAACATCTTTCTTAATCAAGTTCCTACAGTGCAGGTGCCCATACTAATAAAAACACACAACTGAGACTAATCGGGAATTTTAGCAAAGATATCAAATATTGAGGATGATAAAGAGATTACTTCTCTAAACCCTTTGGTAGGCTTCTGCTAACTAGAGTGAGTCACTTCACTGCTTGTCATGCATTTTGCCTGTTTACTGTGTGACTAGATGGAGGATTTCAAAGCTGTCAGGATAGCTTTATTCACTGGCATTAATGTTCTAAAAATAGATATCTCCTCATTACTGCTCATATGAAACACTAGTAGATTCTATTGACGCTCAGAATTGACTTGACAGGTTAGCTATTGTGTCTCAGAATTGCCTTGACAAGCTAGGATAAGTTTATGCCCTCTGAGAGGTGAGAGAGGAGAAATAAATGTCTGATAGAAGGTTAAAAATCTAGCAATCCAGTTCATTGCATTGGACAAGCTAAAGTTCTCATTCTCCTGCCAAAACTGTGATACCAGGTGCTGCCTATTTTTTCATTAAGAAGCTGGGTATTTTATATACTGAACTAATAGTCTGTTTTCTGTCCTTTAGCAGGGATTGCAATTTCTAGGAAGCAAATAACCTCACTGAAGAATATTGATTTGATACCTAACATTGATAATTTCTAGAACTGAAAAAGAATTGCCTTTTCTTATTTCTGTCACTGTAGTAATTTTCAAACTGAAGGATCTCTGGGTCTTCTGTGATGGTAAGTAGAATGAGAGCCAAGCAACAGTGGATGTGTATGTTTGGAGGAAAACGAGAATGAGATTCTTTCCCTGGAAATGGTCTGCAAAGTGCAGCAGCTGGAGAATCACAGCAGAAATGCCCCTCTTGCACCTTGGCAGAGGGTAGTTTTAACTGGCATGGAAGAACAAATAACTTCTAAAGGACTGGGAACAGGATAAGTTGAATTGAAACACAGCCATCAGGGACATGACTGTTTAAACAGGCTTTGCTATGTTAGACAAGCAGCCATCTGCCTCCCTTACGATCCTTGCATACCCACTCTTCAGCCATTGTCCCGAGAGAGCCAGTCCCTTAATGATTAGCTGTCATCCATTTGGTTGGATTTAATTAAGATTGTTGATGGATCGCCAGGCACCTTCTGAGAAGTTGCATTAATCGGAAACACAGGGTGGCAGGTTCCTTCATTCTTCCCAGAGACCTCTACTGACAGGTTGAAATTAATCAGAGACAAAATCCTTTTAATGATATGACCGGCTGAGCCAAAGCCTGTGTCAGGCTTTAACA